TGTGGGTGGATGTCCCCTAATGATGTTGCAACAGCTGCTCCTCATGTTTCCTCTATGGATGGGGGCTGAACCTGCAGGTATTGTTAAGTCAACCTAGGGTGACAGCACTGTTCCTTTTTCAGATACATTGCAGTGAGTGAATGTTGTCACCCTAAGGCAGGAATGTATCTATACCAGTATTTTATACTATACAGTTGTTAAACTCAATCACATTTAATATAAAAGAACCTCCAACATTAAACCGTTAGATTAGGGAACGGAGATATACTGGAGAGAGGATGCAACTATCTGCTCTCGGTTTTATTTCACTTTGCAAATTGCAATCTGCATTTTATGGCCCATTGATAAAAAGATAACTGAAAATCTTTCCAGCCATAATTTTATTTTTTTTAATATACCTGGCTTTTGTTCTCCCTGTTATGCAGGGTACTCATCATACAATGAGCTGCCTTTATGTAACACAAGAATAAACATAAGTTCAAATTTAAGCTAAAGTGGAACTCCAGCAGACAAAAAGTAATTTTGGATAGATTCAGGAGAGTTTAGAACCTCTTTTAAAGCACATTGTGTCTCCAATGTTAATGAATCCGCTCATGTCTTCTCCTCATGACAGGGTGACACAGAAACAGGAAGTGAGAGTATATCTCTGCATAGAAGACACAGACAGAAATAGCAACTTGACATAGGCTTTGACTCTTCTCCATTCTGTCTAAAACAGAATTGTTTTGGCTGGAGTCCTGCTTTGATGTGGCAATGTGATTATTACAGAATGAAAAAAAAATTAAAATCTAAGATTGATCTAATCTATTCTAATTGTGGAGGAGAAGCCTGACGTGATCACCAAACATTCAGCTCATGTTTGCTATGTTGTTACAGCTGGGATTCGTTCCTGTGTATTAGTTATGTAGGCCGACCATGTCCAGAGTTGATTGCATATGTGACTTGTTTTATGAACACAACATGCTAGTTACACTGTGGTAGGTAGGCATTGGGAGAAAGCCTTAGAGTATAGTTCCTGACATTGTCCTCATGAATACTGTAGCTTTATCTTAAAGCCCAGACGTTGAAACAGCTGAGATATAATGCCTGGGATCAATGCTGTTTGGAGGGAGGGGGGGGGGTCCCTTCTCCGTCATGCTTAGCAGCAGTCTGTTTGCAGCTGCTGACAATATAATATTCAGGGAAGCTTGGTGTTATGGGTCTCCGCCACCAGCAGAAGCAACAGGAGATCATAATCTAGGACTAAACTCTTTTTAATAAATTTTTTTTGTTATCAGTAGATTGGGAAGGGCCTGGTCACTGCTTGGTCTTTAACACCTGGCAAGCAGGACCATACTGTAGTTCCCTGAGCTAACATGCATTGTTTATATAAACCTATGGAGAGTCCACTAGATATCAGTAATTAGGACACACAAAATTACAAAATGAGCAGGTTAAATAGCAGGGGAAGGAAGTAGCACCATGCATAGGGTCTGACAATGGGTCCAAGGATTTCATCCTGATACTGAATCGTAATCAGGGTGTCATTGTCTAGCCTGCAGAAGTCTGTGCGTCCCTCCATGGATCTGACTCTCCACCAAAATTGTCATGCTGAAGGATGTTGCATGCAGCATAACATTCTCCATGGCTTCTCCAGAGTCTTTTAAGTCTGTCACATGTACTCAGGGTGAACCTGCTCTCATCTCAGAAAAGCACAGCTCGCCAGTGGTGGACCTGCCAATTCTGGTGTTCAGTGGCAAATGCCAATCAAGCTCTGTGGTGTCAGGCAGTGAGCACAGGGCCCACTAGAGGACGTCGGACCCGCAGGCCACCCTCATGAAGTCTGTTTCTGATTGTTTGGTCAGAGACCTTCCCACCAGTGGCCTGCTGGAGGTCATTTTGTGGGCTCTGGCAGTGCTCGTGCTGTTCCTCCTTGAACAAAGGAGCAGATACCAGTCCTACTGATGGGTAGCTCTTCTAGAGTAACTGCTTTTCTCCTGGAATCTCCTCCATGCTCTTTGAGACTATGCTGAGAGACACAGCAAACCTTCTGGCAATGGCACGTATTGATGTGCCATTCTGGAGGAGTTGGACTGCCTGTGCAACCTCTGTAGGGTCCAGGTATTGCCTCATTCTATCAGTAGTGACACTGACCCTAGCCAAATTCAAAACTAGTGAAAAACAGTCAGAAAAGATGAGTAGAGAAAATTTGTCAGTGTCCTCCACCTGTAAAACCATTCCTGGTTTGGGGGTTGTCTCATTGCTGCTCATCTAGTGCACCTGTTGTTATTTTCATTAACACCAAAGCAGCTGAAACTGATTAACAACCCCCTCTGCTACTTAAATGACCGGATCAATATCCCAGGAGTTTAATTGACTTAATGCTATACTCTGATTAAAAGGTGTTCCTTTAATTTTTTTGAGCAGTGTATATTAAAAAGTAAGGGTCCCAACATTGAACCTTGGGATACACCACTAACAACCCTAGACCATTCAGAGTATGGACCATTAACCACTGCTCTGAATTCAGTCTTTCAGCCAGTTTTCTATCCATTTACGTCTGATTTTTCCAAGCCCGTAGATTTTACATTACACATTAGCCGTATGTGGGGAACTATGGCAAACTCTTTTACAAAATCCAAGTATACCACTTCCACAGCCACCCCTCTGTCCAAGGTTTTGCTCTCACCCTCATAAAAAGAAGTCAGATTTGTTTGACAACTTCTGTCTTTCATGAATACATGCTGTCTGTTACTTAAAATATTTTTTTCCAGCAAGAACTCATCTATGTGGTCTTTTATTAAAGTCTCCAGTATCTTCACAACAATAGATGTTAAACTAACAGGTCTATAATTGTTAAAGATTTTTATCCCTTTTTAAATATAGACACTACATTGGCCTTACGCCAATCCAGTGGAACTATGCCAGTGATTAAAGAGTCCCTAAAAATTAGAAACAATGGCTTTGAAAGACAGAGCTTAATTCTTTAAGGACCCGTGGCTGTATGTCCATCTGGTCCAGGTGCTTTATTCACCTTAATTCTGTCTAAATATTTCTGGATCATATGAGTTGTGAGCCAATGTGGATCATCTGGGTCATTACCATGCCCGTTATGGACAAGAGCTCACCCATGCTCCTTTGTATAAGCAGAGCTGAAGAAGGTATGTAATAAATTTGCCATCTCTTTGTCCCCAGTCACCCACTCTAGACTATTTTGTAAAGAACCTGCTTGTTCGGACCTGCCTTTATTAGTATTAATATATTTTAAGAATTTTTGGGGGGTTTGTCCTGCTGTCTTTTGCAATCTGTCATTTGTTTTCCAATTTTTGCGACCTTGATTTAATTTTTACATATTCTGTTATGTTCTTTGTAATGTTTAAACGATGATAGTGTTCCTTCATTTTTATATTTAACTGCCTCCCGCCCGCCATATAAGGAAATGACGGGCGCAAGGCGGTACTCTCGTTCTGGGAGGACGTCATATGACGTCCTCCCACTCTAACTGCGTGTGCACGCCCCCCCGGGAGCATTCAGCGATCGTGGTGTGATCAGGGGAAAGAGCTGATGACTTCAGCTCTGTCATGTGATTAGCTGTGTCCAATCACAGCTGATCGCATGTAAATAAGGAAATGCCTGTTATCGGCATTTCTCTCCTCATGAGCTGTCATGCTGACAGCTTGTGAGGAGAGGAGAGCCGGTAATCGCCATTCCTCAGAGGGGATATCTACACTGATCATCAGTGCCCTGATAATCAGTGTAGCCCCATCAGTGCCACCTGTCAGTTTTCATCAATGCCACCTGTCATTGCCCATCAATGCCACCTGTCAGTGCCTATCAGTGCACATCAATGCCACATATCAGTACCTACCAGTGCACATCAATGCCACCTGTCAGTGCCCATCTGAGCTGCCTTTCAGTGCCACCTATTAGTGCCAGTCAGTGCTGCCGATCAGTGCCAGTCAGTGCTGCCTATCAATGCCATATATAAGTATTGCCTTTCAGTGCCCATCAGTGATGTCTGTGAATGCCCACCAGTGATGCCTGTCAATGCCCATCAGTGCCACCTACCAGTGCCTCCTCATCAGTGCAGCCTATCCATGCCCATCACTGCAGCCTCATTAGCGCACATCATTGAAGGAGAAAAATTACTCATTTACAAAATTTTATAACAGAAACTAAGAAAAAAAAATGTTGTTTTCAAAAGTTTCAGTTGTTTTTGGTTTGTTTATCAAAAAATAAAAAACCCAGTGGTGATTAAATACCACCAAAAGAAAGCTCTATCTGTCTCAAAAAAATTACAAAAAATTTCATATAGGTACAGTGTTTCATGACCGCGCAATTGTCATTCAAAGTGCAACAGTGATGAAAGCTGAGAGTTGGCTTGGGCAGGAAGGGGGTGAAAGTGCCCGATAGGCAAATGGTTAATAAAAGCTCTTTTCTTATTATTTTTATAGCTTTTTTAACTTTGTCTGTAAGCCACATAGGTTTGATTTTTAGCCTTTTTAACTTTTAACTTTTTAACTTTGTAACACGAGCTTCCAGAAGGGCAATCCGCTCACATCTGTCGCAGTGATATCCATCCTGGAACTGTTGCTCCATTGTTGAATACATGCGGCACACTGTGCACTACACAAAACCTTCAGCCCTGATAGCACTCATTATCCCAGTCACAATATTAATATTACTAATAGGAAATATCAGTTGTCACTTACAGGTTAGTAGACTCCTGTTTTCCACTCCGGTTTTGTAACTCCATTTATTCAAATGTCCACTTGATCAAAGGTCCAGCAAGCAAAATACAGGCAAGCTCAAAGTGAGCTCTGCAGAAAGTTTTATATAGTACCTGTAGCACCTGTGACCAATTAACCCCTCCCCTTACACCCCAGTCACATCAAAGCCAATTTTGAAATTGTGCGGCTCCACTGTCTACGAAGGGAGGGGATCATGTTCTGCTATGTCACAGTACATGTTGACATTCATCGTTCTCTCAATGAACTGTAGCTCCCCTGTGCCGGCAGCACTCATGCAACCCCAGACCATGACACTCCCACCACCGTGCTTGAGTGTATACAAGACATACATGTCTTTGTACTCCTCACCTGATTGCCGCCACACACGCTTGACACCATCTGAACCAAATCAGTTGATCTTGGTCTCATCAGTCCACAGGACATGGTTCCAGTAATCCATGTCCTTAGTCTGCTTGTCTTTAGCAAACTGTTTGTGGGCTTTCTTGTGCATCATCTTTAGAACAGGCTTCCTTCTGGGATGACAGCCATGTAGACCAGTTTGATGCAGTGTGCGACATATGGTCTAAGCACTGACAGGCTGACCCCCCACCCCTTCAACCTCTGCATCATTGCTGGCAGCACTCATATGTCGATTTCCCAAAGACAACCTCTGGATATGACACTGAACACGTGCACTCAACTTCTTTGGTGGACCGTGGCAAGGCCTGTTCTGAGTGAAACCTGTCCTGTTAACCCGCTGTATGGTCTTGGCCACCGTGCTGCAGCTCAGTTTAAGGGTCTTGGCAATCTTCTTATAGCCTAGGTAGGTTAGTGTTGGGCAACTGTGGCCCTCCAGCTTTTAGTGAACTACAAGTCCCATCATGCCTCTGCCTTTGGGAGTCATGCTTGTAACTGTCAGTTTTGCAATGCCTCATGGGACTTGTAGTTCTACAACAGGTGGAGGGCCACAGTTGCCCACTCCTGGCCTAGGCCATCTTTATGTAGAACAACAGTTCTTTTTTTCAGATCCTCAGAGAGTTCTTTGCCATGAGGCGCCATGTTGAACTTCTAGTGACCAGTATGAGAGAGTGAAAGCGATAACACCAAATTTAACACACCTGCTCCCCATTCACACCTGAGACCTTGTAACACTGAGTCACATGACACCGGGGAAAATGGCTAATTGGGCCCAATTTGGACATTTTCACTTAGGGGTGTACTCACTTTTGTTGCCAGCGGTTTAAACATTAATGGCTGTATGTTTGAGTTATTTTGAAGGAACAGCAAATGTACACTGTTATACAAGCTGTACACTCACTACTTTACATTGTAGCAAAGTGTCATTTCTTCAGTGTTGTCACATGAAAAGATATAATAAAATATTTACAAAAATGTGAGGGGTGTACTCACTTCTCTGAGATACTGTATGACCTTTTTGTATCGTATTGGATTCAGGAGAATCGTTTTGGAGAGTAAAGGTTACATCCCTTGTCTGGTTTTTACTGTTGCCTGTTTCTCCCAATGGGATTTTCTGTTACTTATGGGTCTATTTATAAAAAATTAGTTGGACAGATGTAACAAGCATTCACCCAACCATCACGGATTGTGACAGTGTGTTGCCTAACATGTTGATTTTCTCATGATCATCGGCTCCATCTAGTAAGCCATATGTTTTTTTTCCCTGAAACACATCAGTCTGGAAAATACAGCATTTTGGCCACTTCTAGATGAAGTTGATGATTAAAGGAAATCAACATACTAAAGTGGATGTAAACCTCTGAAATGAAAAATGAACAAAGCATATCCCTCAATATAGTATGTACTAGCCTCAAACCAAAGCATCTAGTGTGGTTCCTCTCTGGTCTCTCCTCCCTCTACTATCTACAGGAATCACCCCTGTCAGTTTAACTCCGCACAAAGCAATCCTGGGACAAGGCCACGCCCCCCTCCAGCGCACAGCAGGTGATTGACAGCTTCAGCTGTGCATGTTGTGAGGGTAGTCCGTTGTGTTGATTCCCTCCACTCAGGTCTCAGATTACACTGAACTCCTCCTGTGTAGTGTGTGATATCATAATCCCCCCACATTCTGGAGTTGAGAAAAAAAATCTTTGAGCTGTGTGTTTTAGAAGGCTGTAGAGGAAAGAGGGCTGCCGATAAACAGGTATGACTTATGTAAGAGGATTTGTTTTTTAACTGTGTATCATCAGAGGTCATTCACTTCACTTGGGTGTATGTAAGGGTTTACAACTACTTTAGGCAAAATACAGTCAGAATTCATAATAGCTAGGTAAATGTGTGTGAAATTCAACCAGTTGATTTTTTATAAATCGGCCCCTTGATGTTTGCATGCAGCAATGAAAACCTGATGAGGTTCTAACCTTCCCCACTCTATCTAAGACTAAAAGTTTTGACTGGAGCACTGCTTTAAAGAGACACTATCATTTTTGGCCATTTAGTGGAAAGTGAGCATGTTTGCTGAAAGCCCGCTACCCCAGCAACTTATGCACCAATCTCTCCCTTTCCACATTCCCGCTTTCTTGGTACAATTTCATGTTAAAAAATATTTGATGCAGGTCTACTTGATCCAGTTGCTTTAGTTACAACTCATAGATGGTGAAAGGTGGACTTTCTGTTTATCTGCAGCCTATCATTTAGTTTAAGATATTTTTATAATAGGCTCTTCTGCTTCAATGCTTTGGACTAAAGCTCCTCTGCTACAAAAAATTGTATTTCACGATTCTACGGTGTCACATCACTGAGATTTTTCCTTAAATTCTCAGGGCAACTTTTAAGAAAAATTAAACAGGTTTGAGGTTGAAGCATTTTCTCATTCCTCCTTTAGCACTCTGAAAGAATTGGGCATTGTTGAGCAGCTCCTGTGACCCATGTAAGGATACAACCAATCAGAACGCTTGCTGAACAGACCATTGCAAGTGGCACCTTTTAAAAGAAGGCTCTGTTGGCTATGATAAGTTGATTGGTCACTTCTTACAGGCTGAATTATAATGCAGTAGCTAGAACCTACATAGCACAAAGCTTTTTACATGTGCAATGGTAAGGTTTGACATTCTGACAAGGTTACAATGCTGGGGAATCACAATATCTGTGACAGAGCAGATCATCCGGGCCCTGATTTCAGGAGGGGGCTGTCTATAGAGTGTTGGGGGAACATTACCCGTCTTCCTGTTCCCACAGAGGTGTTGTTCTTTGTCTTTGGTTTGTTAAGCCACTCGCAGACAGTCTGTGTATGCAGTGATGCTTTCAGGCAGACTAAGCAATGCTGGGGGCATGCAGTGTATCCACTGTAACCATCACCCCTGACCTGCAGAACACAAACTGACTGTTTTATTTAACTGCATCAGTGATTTATGTGTCAGTGGCTAGCCTAACATTCATTCCTCCTGGTTACAGAGACTGCTCAAAGGTTTGTACTATATGAGGTAGACAATAGGATTTTAGTAGTTTAGAAGCCAAACAAAGACCCATATTTGCAAGCGATGCAGGCAATTTGTGCATTGCATGTGATGATTGGACACATGTAGTACTTGCCTTGTGGGCAGCAATGACTATTATTGAGCTTCATTGTTGTCCATTACCGCATACAAAGGTTTTTCTAAGGTGTTAGAAAATACCAGAATGAAGGTGCCAGATGTTCAGTACAGTATGGATAAATGGGAACTAGCATTTCACCACAAATACATACCAGATTATTTGAATCCTGGAGCTCCTGGGATATGAGTGAGGATGGGCAGATGTCTCACCTCCAGTCTGTTTCTCCTCTACTGATAGCCTTTGCCATTTAGTACATTAGTTATAATTGGTTGCCATGGATTGGTGCCCTTGCTCTTGTCCTATTTAAAAACACATGTTAAGCTGAACTCTAGGCATTCAGCTAAATAAACATTGTTACATAGTGAGGTAGAAAAAAAGACACTATTTGATATACCTCAACCAGCCATCCCTGCCATTAAACACAACCAGGATAGTCACCTGGCATTTCTGTATTGCAGGTGGGTAGCATGACATAGCCCCAGGCTGTGATTGTCCAGTGAAGGAGCAGCAGCAGACTAATGAGATCATCTCCCTGCTCTCTCATCATATCAGCATGTTCTTTGTGAGCATATTTGCAGGCAGGACAGCAGATTGGCACCACTTTGCATGTTGTCTCCTCTTTTTCACACAAAGACATATTGTTCTAGCATCGAGACAAATTCTTCTCTTCCTACAGAACCTTATTGTCCTCCTTCCCACGGGACCATATTGTCCCTTCTACCATGAGTTTATATTTTCCTTCTCCAATGGGACCGCATTGCCCCCATCCCAAGGGGACTGCATTACCCCCATCCCACAGAGCTATTGTAAAGGTCATCACTTTTCTTTAGCTGAGGTCTCCACATTTTGGGGTATTTTGGGAGCATGATGCCAACTGCAGTTGAACAGACCTAAGAATTCTGCCGATTTTCCCACTGGAGTCCCAAATATATGTAACTTGATTAGACTTTCAGCAACTATGCTAAAATAAAATGTCTGTGGTTAATAAATTAGCAGTTAACATTTTATTGTCTTGATTTTACCGTTTGTGAGTTTTTGGTGATTGCAAGTTACTGCTTTTACAGTCTTGACAAATCAGATTCAGTACGGGTTTACAGAGGCACCCCTTCCAGGTATATCCCTTGTTACTGCACACTGTGGGGGCAGATTACCTACTTTATTATTTGAGCTGTACATATATAGGTCTGCCTGGGAACTTCATCTAGCATCACAAAAAAGATTTTTGTTATTAGAATGCTGCTTTTTGAATGTGGCACCTATGCTACACTGTACAGTGTTAGATTTTTGTATGCAGGACACAATGTGTGTTAAATGTAAAATAATACATTGTTAGCATCCTAAGCATTGTAATGTACACAATGGACAATATTTTACACTAGAGCTTTATTTATTCCTTTCGTGTGTGCCTGTTTGTGTTTGTAGTATATAAAAGGCTTAGAGACTGCTCAATAATCTGATGGAATGAATACTTAGTGAGACATTGACATAACATGTACAGCAGGAATAGAAAAAAATTGCCTCCTTTAAAATAATCACATTTTGTTGCTTTGCAGCCTGAAATGAAGACATACACCGTTTTTGTTTTATACAGCTATATTTACTCTGTGCAACTTAGAACATTTAAGTAAAAGCTATAACACCAACATGTCAGGAAAAAAAAAATCAAAAGCAGAATCACTGAGTTGGAAAAAGGATCACCCCCTTGTGTCATTGTTTTGTTGAACCACCTTTACCTTTAATTACAGCCTTTAGTCTGTTGGGATATTTCTCTGTTAACTGTACATCTAGACTTTGCAATATTTGCCCACTTTTCTTTGCAGAACTGCTCAAGTTCAGTTAAATTTGATGGTGACCGTTTGTGGAATGCAATCTTCACGTCATTCCACAGATTTTCATCGGGGTTTAAATCTGGGCTCTGACTAGGACATGCAAGGACATTCACTATTTTCTCCTTTAATCACTGTGTGGTCATTTTTGCTGTCTGCTCTGGGTCATTGTCATGTAGGAAGGTAAACCTTCTTCCCATTGACAACTTCCTGCCAGAGGGCAGCAGATTTTCCTCAAGAATTTGTTGGTATTTTGCCCCATCTATTTTTTCTTCTATCCTGACAAGTGCTCCCATCCCTGCTGCAGAACATAACAGGATATTACCACCGCCATGCTTTACTGTAGGAATGGTGTTATTTGGATTTCCACCAGACATATCGTTTAGTGTTGTTTGAGGCCAAATAATTCAGATTTAGTTTCATCTGACCATAACACCTTTTTCCATGTGGCCTTAGGATCTTCAAAGTGCATTTTGGCAAAGCTCAGTCATGACTGCATGTGGCCTTTCTTGAGGAGTGGCTTTTTTTCTTGCAACCCTCCCATACAAGTCACATTTGTGGAGAATTTGTGATATTGTTGTCACATGCACACTATAACCACTCTTTCATAAAATCCTGCAACTGCTTCAGAGTTGCTGTACGCTTCTTGGTAGCCTCTCTGACCAGTTTCCTCCTGGCGCTTTCATCCAGTTTGGAGTGACATCTTGATCCAAGGAGGGTCTGTGCTGGACCAGATACCTTCCACTTCTTAATAATAGACTTCACTGTGCTTCTAGGCATTGATAAAGCCTTTGAAAATTTTGTTGTATCCATCTTCTGATTTG